TTTTCCCCAAGCTTTATTATCTTGCCTTTTTTCTGTTAGCTTGCTCTTCAGATTATTAGTAAATACAACTAAAGTACTACTGCTTTTTGGCATATAGCTGCCTCACCTGTCTTTGTCTTTTTCAAACCATTCTATTGTGAAACCAGAATATTGTCATTCTGTTTTCTTACTCATTTTCTAAGGAACTATTTGTAACTATAACTAGCAAACTTACTAGCAGCCTAAGTGGTGCATACGCTTTAGGACTTTGTGCACCTGTACACAGTAGCTGAACCAGTGTTTTACATCTGTTCTTCCCTATAAAGCACCCCATCCTAATATTTGGATTACGTTATTATAAATAGCTACTGCCATTATCACATCAGGTCAGTTCATAACAAAGCACATGGAAGAAAAAAAAAAAACCTGTTTTTTTTTTCATTAACTTGTACCATCAACAAGTTATCTTCCATTCTATAGTACTAACAGATTACCCTGTTTTCCAAAAATGGCAAAATATGAGTGTCATGACAACTAACCAATTAATATTTACTTCCTAATTATTCAGATTTCTTTGTTAAAATACCAATGGTGAAAAATAGTTTCAGAACAGAATATTTAAATTTTAAAAGATTCAAATTATTACTCAAGGTCCTCAAATTCCTGTATTGTATTGTAAACATAAAACATACATATTTTAAGGAAATGATAGAAGTATGCCTTCTTTACGTAGACTTGGCTATTGCACACATTTAACTTTTTAGAAGGATATTATCTATCTAGATTAGCGATAAGAAAACTAGCAAGTTTTTATCACATTGTTTTTTATGAAGATTATAGGTATTATATGAGGACTCTTATCTAAACCAACCTTATACTTGTAGCTGTTTATTATTTTAGAATACATTTTAACTGGACCCAAACTTTTATTTCCATGCAATTCTGTATCAACTACAACACTTCAGAAATATTTCACCTAACATTTCATGAAACTTACGATAACATCGTAACCTTGGAACCTCTGGAGAAGGACATTCTTGACTTTTAAACCTAGCACAGGGGAACCTAGTCCATAACTGACTTTTTAGGACTGCCTCCAAACAGTACCATCGGAAAGAAATGTTTATCTGCTTGGTTTTGCCTCAAGGAAAGAAAAGAAAAGAAAAAAAAGGAAAAGAAAAGCAATTCTTGAAATGAAAACAGAAACAATCCCTGTATTAAAGTTGAGTAGATAACCACATCTTACCATTTTTAATCTAAACATTAAGTCAACAAATAAGCAAAAAAGAAAATCTGGTATGTTTCTAATTACATATCCATGTTACAATAATCTGATTATAAAATACATTCCTATCAATACAAACATCTTCAGACTGTACTGTGAAAGCATTCCCTGTATACTTTTCTCACCATAAATTCCCGAATTAGTTCTCTGTCCCGCCCCATAAAACTCCCATCTTCAGGTATGGAAATAAGATGTGTTACCCCCTACACGTGCAGCAGGAGCTTCTGAGCCAGACAGAGCCAACAAGAAAAACTGTAAAATGAAGGGATTCTTGGACAGCTTAACTCAACCTTGCTGAACGTGACAGCCTTGGCCTCGCAATAGGGAGGGCTCTTGTTTCACTCAGACTGAGATGGTCACACTACAGGAACAACTTGGGCTAAGCTAGGCCAAATGGCAGTAAGGGAAGCGCTGTTAGGAGGATACTGGTCAAAGGCCCAGCCAAACGTGTGACAGCACGCCGCAGGACAGAGCGGCCCCAGAGTGGAATCGCTGGCGGTTCCTGTTTGGATCAACCGATTCAAAAGGCGACACAGACTTCTGGTTACTCCATGCCTGGAAAATGCTTTAAGCACACTGACCTGCACTTCCCATTTGTGGTTTGAGCCTGAAGTGGCTCAGCCTGTTTGTCACAGAATTAATTCCTAGCGAACAGTTTGCTGCCAAGGAAATTCAGTGGCAGGTAACCCAGCCTTACAGAGTAATTGCTTCCTAACTGAGTGGAGGAGGTCTTACGCAGTCTCGATGGCTAACAAGAAAACCACTGCAGTAACACCATCTTGTCACTGGCAGATTTCATCCCAAAACACTTGGCATGTGTTCCTGGCTACTGAACAAACAAGCTCTATCACATGAGAAATGATGGTTCTGCCATCACTGGTTTGGGAGGAGACAGAAAGATGACAACTCTGTGGACACCAGAAGGTGAAAAGTAGGAAGTTATTCCTAAACTGTCAACTAAAGTTAGTGGTTCAGTAGGTGTACTTCAGAGGTCTTTAATCTCCTTCTAGCTGATGCCTTGCTGCCAGCCAGTCAAACTACGGGAGTATTTTACAAGAGGGCGTCACTCCAGTCCAGTTTTCAGTACCCCGAAGAAAACAAAGTAATCATTCAACCAAAATCCTTATATTAAAATAAAGAGACAACATGATACAGGAGACCAGTTGCAGAAGATAATTAAGCATAGACAGCCACAGTGATTAGGTATAATACACTAAGCTGTATTTCTGCAGTTACATCACACTAGAAATGCTGAAGACTTGCACAAATTCACAGTTGGTTTCCCCTTTTTAAAATAATATTGCATACTGTTTTCAACCCAACTGTATACGCTTATTCCCTGCCACTTGACACCGGAAAGCTTTTGCCCAGCCATATCAGCAAAATTATAAGTATCAGCAAAAAAAGCCCTCCTCTTTTGTCCCCTGTGTAATAGAAGGGCATCCATCCATTCTTCAGTTCATTTCAATTCAGGATAGCATCTGAAAGACATTTCAGAAGGAAATACAGATGGTATCTCGAAGACACAATAATTAGCATTTACTGGTACTCTTTACTCAGAGAGCTCACCTATACATGGTGGCTCCAATCACTACCCTTCCCTCAAATGGCTTATATGAAATAAGTGAGATTTTGCATTAATGAAGTATACAGCACTACTTCTCTAAATACTGCATCGGCTCTAAACGCTTTGGGAGCAGGATCACTGAGAACAGAGGGCAGAGTGATGAAAGAACTAGTTTATGATGACCCATTCTCTACCCTCTGCCATTCTCTAGTCCTATAAAACCCTGAGATTTACCCAAACACAGATCATACTTTCATTTTAGCACACCGATTGGTCCTCTGAATGGCTGATGTGGTTCTAGTGTCTACAGCAGATCATCTAGGTTCATGAAGCTATTTAATACTACAAATAGTTCTTAAAGTACAGTCTTCTATTAGTATGTACATGTTCCCCAAACACTAATTGAACCTTGAAACTTCCTCGTAATTCCAAGCCTAAGAATAGATACTGTTCCTTCTGGTAGACAAAAGAGTGACCGTTGAAGACAGTGCCTCGTCTGCAGAGTCCTCTACTGATAAACAATTTGAGAACTGTTATTTATTGTTCAACTGTCTCTCTCATTGGAGGAGAAATGATCTGCTCCCCTCCTCAGGGGTAAAAAGGGAAGAAACCAGTTCTTGGTTTTGTGTCAGTGCAAAGTCCGTAGTTTTTGGCACTGATCCCAAGTCCTTTACTTTTGAGTAGTACACAAGTGTGCTAAATCTAGCTGTTGCTTTCTTTGCAAGATGCATAGTACAACTGCCCTTTGAATTATCCATATTTTAGGAACATGTGATCGAATGAGAAGAAATAGTACTTGCTTGTCTTCTTGGGCACAAAAGAACCTGAGCAAAATAGGAAGGTGAAAGAAGCCAACATACATCATGAAGACATGCATTCAGCACGTAGATCAGATTATGATCTTCCTCACCTGAAGTACAGTAGATTGACTACAAATTTTGTACTTGTCAACATGAGTTCCAACTTTTTATAGCTTTGTGAATTTGTTTATGATGTGCCAAAAGTTACACATTTTGAGCAATAAGTCAGCTAAAGATAAAATATGGGTTACCTGAATTCAATGTTTAACCTTCCCTTGGAGCTGTTTTTCTAAATTTTGACCTCCAAAAGAGGATACGCGCTTCTCTCTGTCAGTCAAGTGTATGAATGTCAAATGTATGTTAAGATTCCTTGGCTGATCTCTAAGTGAAAGAGGCATAGTCCTGTTTTAAGCAAAGTTTCTGTTTTCTTGAAAAGGAGTTCAACATCTGTTTGTAACAGCGGCCAAAATCTGCAGGATAACATAATCTGCGATGCAGACTCTCTGAGAACCAGCAGGTGATGACTGTGGAAACCTGCCAGTGTAAGTCTCCAAAGCTGTCCCGCATGTTACAGGGACCCCATTTCTACCCAAATGGGAAAAAGTGAGAAGAGCCAACAGCATCACAGCTTAAAAACCACTGTATGTGGGCATTGCCGCAGCTCCAGTTAAGCAGAAGTGGAACATTGAGAAACTACATCTAGGAGGGCCAGTGCTCAGTATCTGTTTTTTAAACTGATTTAATGTTGCAGAAGAGAAATCTGAAATCTTGACATTTCAGAATTATTCTATTTAGCCTGTTAGCAACATAAAGGGAAAAAAGCTTCAGACACCACAAAGCAGCAAACTATGAACCAAACTTCTCCATCACTCATAATCAATCACAGGAATACCATTAAGATATTGAGGCTGTGGAAATTGGTATGGAAGAAACCCCATACCATTTTATTAATAGCAGTAATAATAAAAAACCCACTGTAATAACATTTTGTAGCAATCAAACACTGTGCCAGAAGACAAGATGCCCAACAGGCATGTCATTTAGTTGTGTTACCAGTCCTTGATTTCAGCTAAAGCATTAGTAATAACCATGACCAGACAGACTGCACCAAATAAAATTAATCTGATGTGGTAACTTTTTTCCAATGTATCTTTCTACAACAGATGTCTCTGCAGTTGATGCTGTTTTGTCTTTTTTCATAACTGAAACACAGACAGAGAGTACATCAAACAGCTGTTCCAATATGGTATTAAAGACTGTCACTAGCATTAAAAAAGGCTCAGAAATTTTTGTAAGAAAGATATAATGGCTGCTTACCATATGCTTTCTACTCCTGAAATACTTGAAATAAAATTTTGCATGCATTAACCTTACCTCAGAATTAGGAAACTGAATGCAACTGTATTGTACTTCAAGCTTCCTCCAGACTGTTTTCATCTGTACTTCCACTTCATTAGTTCAAAGGTGATATTATGGAAATGCATATTTCTATTAATCTGTAAAACAGGAAGATAATTTGACTTAAGAGATATCTGAAGAGACTGTATCAACAGTTTATAGTACATAAGGTGAACTGCACACTGCAGATACTGGTATCTGGAATTATGGAAGCCATCTGCTATTGTGAACTGCTGCTAGCTAGAAAAAAACTTGTTAAGACTCCTGCATTTCTAATAGTTGTATGGTTGTAGTATGTTTCTAAAATACTAACCCTAAAAAGCATTTAAAATTCATTTTATTTATATTACATCATTACTCACTCATGAATGGTGATGTCAGGAAGGAATGGTGTTAAAAATCTCTATAGATAGTTTTCCTATGAAAGTAAGGCTTTCTGATCTCTACCAGTAACTCTTGGATTCACCTGGTCTATACCAGCCAGGTTTGCAAGCCACTAGATACCAGGTTTCTCCAATTTTTTTATTTACTTTTTTAAAACAGGCAGATTAGAGGAAGGACACATTGTTGGTGACACTAATGGAGAAACTAAACAAAATGTACAGGTCAATCTTTATTAAACACCAGAGAATCCGTAAGACTGCAGCTCCACAGCAAAAATCCACTGGTATCACCCCATTAGTTCCACTACACAAGGAACTTCAGCATACTGAGAAATAATCAATAGGTTTATTGTAGCTGCACACAGGCATGATTACTCCTGGGAAGAAAAAGCAAGCCAAGAATTTGGAAAAAAAGTACTGGCAATAGGGTGGGTTTGAGTTTTTGTTTGTGTTTTTGAACTGGCATACATCCAAGCATTAGAGGAAAGCATGGCACAGGCTCTCTCACCTGGCACTCTCATCAACTGTGAGCACACCTGACTTGTGTCAAGTCCCAAGGTTTTCAAATGTGTTGTGGATAGCTAAGTTGGACTTATCAGCTTTACTATTCAGATTCTACCTTCAGCATGTGCCACCTACTGCCAACTCTTCCCATTTTATCAGTGTCACAATTTTTGAATGTTTCCATCGTCCGAAGCTGTCAAAAAAGATCATAAAAATTTTATCATTTAGAAGTCCCAGTATTATGCCTGCAAACATAACCTTGACAGTAATACAAAGGCTCAGACACCAGTAATGCAGCTATACTGTTAAAAAACACACATCAAATCTTGCAGTGTAGAAATTTAATGACTTATTTTTGAATGCCAATGCCGACAGTACTGGGAATAGGGATGGACAAACCATGTGCCTGCACGATTTCCAGCAGAGGACGAGTTTAAGCATCCACTTTCCTTCTCTTTTCCCTTCTAAGCACCATAAAGACCTTTACCATTACAAGAAGGTCAGAATACTTCTGTCTCCGTGTCAATTTGTAAGCACTGTTCCTCACACAGAGGTTTAATAGTCTTGGTAATAAATAATAAATTTGTGTAAAATGGTAACCCAAAACCATCCTGACTATCAGATAGCACCAGTTCTTAAAGACAACTGGCTCCACTGAGCAGACAGGGTGACACTTGACTGTTATTTCCTCCATGGTAAAACTGAAAAAACATTCTTGCCATGCAAAACTGTTTGTGGAGATCATTTTCACTTTTTTAAAGTAAGCTTGTAAAGAATCTGCAAAATATATCCATCTCTTTCTCTCTATAACCAAGGAACTTGAGGTTATATTCTGTTGGACTCCAAAAGAAACAACTACAGACAGAAGAAGACTGGTGTGCTTTCTGTTTTTACACCACCTCCAATCTCCCTGTATCTAGTATCTGATTTATACAAAGGCCAAACTGTATTATTTAAAGATGCTGCTTTACAAGGGTAAAGACGTTTCTGAACAATGCTGGCCTTCTTTTGTTTGTTTTAAAAATGATGTCCTCTTGATATTTTTTCCAGACTCCCAAATTGATGAAATTCTTAGTAACTGTAAGCATTCTCTGTATCTCCTGGTCCCACTCCCATGTATGGCAAGAGAGCTTGGATATCTCAAACAAAATTATTTTGGCGAACTTCCTGATCTGCACGACTCCAGGTATGCCTGCATTAGCATTTTCATTCAAATCAGGACTGTGCTTTTGAAGTCAATCTCCCAAGCAACCTTATTTTCCTTGCTTTGCTTTACATTGCAAAGCAGTCCCCAAGTACATGAACCAGACTTCTTTTGAATAAAACTGGATCAGGGAATGAGCTTCAGGTGTGCATCGAACACGCATCAACCACTAACAGGAATTCAGCCCCAGAATCAGACAAGGACCAGCTTGAAGTAAAACCCTCACAACCTGTAGAGTGTGGATGCCAGGTTCTCAGCACCTGACAGAGCTGATCCTGTTACACTGCACTGCTTGGTAGCGTTGACACAGCCTCTTTCAAGACTCACTGCATTTTGTGTCAGTTCCAGATTCATCTCTCTTTTTTTAAAAGGGGAACTGCAAAACCTCTATCAGAGATGGAAGTGAAGTTAATGATAACTACTAATGTATGCGAGTGACCTCACCGTGTTACTATTTCTTCCACAGCATGAGATGTTACTCAAGAACATACTTAATTTTATAAAAATCAATTTACTTATTTATTTTATACAGTTATCCAAAATGCTCCATTATTAATGGATTAGTTTTTCAAAACATTTAGTGTCATTCTTGATGGCATCTTCCAGAGAACTGCTATCAAGAACAACACTATTGAATAAATTATTCGCAGAACTCCCCCTTCACTTTACTAGAACTTCGTCAACTACAATGACCGTAAGAAGCACAAACAAATCAAAAGTACAGAGCCTCACAGCGCTTGTTACATACTAGTTACATACTAAATCCAGATTTATCTGGGAATTTTTCTAAGTATTAAGATTAAATTCAGGATCTTCGTATACTATTAACTCAGGAATATCAGCACCCAGTCTGGGAAAAGAAAAATCTCAATTACATGAATACACTAATTACTTAGCTAACTCTGAGAACTGTAAATTTTCTGCCATTAGCAGGTCCCGGGAACAGTCAGAATATCTAAGTTGAGCCGATTTAAGCCTCATCCTGTGTGTGCAGGGAAAAGGGCAGGAATCAACAGCCACGAGCAGGACAGATGGACAGGAGGGACTCGCAGTGGCAAAGCTCCAGTCAGGCTGACTCACCTCGACGAGGAAACCGTACTCAGGCTGTGGATTCCTTTTTCTTGTCTTCCCACTTCTATCTAGATCCTGCTTCCCTTCTCAGCAGCTCCAGTTCCTCCAGCTCCAGGGCCACATCCAACCCATTCCCTCACCTGTCTCCTCTTCTGAAGCGAAAAAACTCTCCTGGCACTTGACCGTCCCTGCGCTCTGTTCCTCTAGTTCATTCCCCCTTTGCCCCACCTGCCCACCAGTTTTCAGATCAAGTACTTTAGTCATCTAAATTATCTGTTCCTTCTGAAAGCACCTTGTTACAGTTGGGGAAATATGCCAAAATTGGAAAATCGCCCCTTACGTTGACGAGAAAAGAAAAGTAACTTTCAGTCCTTCCAGTACCCTGACAGATCTAGAGCTGAGTAAGCACCGCAGCTTTTAGCCCAGAAACAGACAGGAAAGGTTGGCATGTGGGGAACGGGCAACTGCCGGAAGCCAGGATGCTCCAAACGGTTTTACCTTGAAATGAAAATTGACTCACCAGTTTTTAGAAACAGAAGGGTGCAAACAGCAAATCTTTGTGCTATTAGACATCTCTAACTCAGGTGTGCATTTTAAACGCAAAATTATATGTATTTAAGGAACATAAGCTTGGAAAGTAACTTTAATTAAAAGTAACATAACCGTTAAAGTAATTCAATTGCAATTAAGTGCATGATCACTCAAGGACTCATTGGTACAGACTATGGGTTAAATCCTTCTCCATTCACCCCAGCTCCCAGTTACTTCTTTCCTGCTCTTTGATCTCCTCCAGCCACCAGTGCTTCACTTTTACATGGTTAGCTGGTCAGCTAATCATACCGTTATCCCAATTTATGAAACAGAACTTGTTTTAAATGTCCTGTAAAGTCAGTTTGTGTCACAGACATGGGCTAGGGTAATAACACTCAAGCAGTTAAATCAGAAAAAAACCCCAGACGCAATAATCTTCAGCATCTGATTTGAGGTGGGAGCAAAGGGGAGGAGGAGAGAAGCAGGTGGTGCTAGCAACAGGTCTCTGTATGCAGTGTCAGAGAGTTCACCGCCAGCTGATGGCTCTGTCGACCACAGATGGGAGAGGTTTCAGAAGCAGAGTTATTCACGTTCGGGTAAACTATACTCGAACAAAAGGCTTTTTGTCAGAAATCTATGCACACAAAAAATACACGGCAGGCCCAGACGGCAGCCTAGAAGATGGTTCGGTTAACAGTCTCGTGACTGCCACTAGAAAATTTAGCCTGAGTCGCTGTAAGCTAGAAAGAGTTTGAAAAATAGCGAGTATACTGTTTTTTGAAGTCTACTATAGCGGTGAAGTTTCAGTGGAATTTTAAAGCGAAAGCAGCCATACCAAATTTCCAAATACTGCTTCAAAGCTCATGTCCAAGAACACGGATTTCTTAAGGAAAACCTTTTCAACAAATTTACATGCGAGAAAAACCCCGCAGCATGCTGCAAAGACCAAACATCATACTGCTCGTAGCACATGTAGGGCTCGGTGGTTTTCTCTGTGGAATAGTGAAGGTATACGAGCAAGAACATCTCTTTCAAACAGCCCTTCCAAATTCAATGGGACCACTATACGAAATAAAATGAACTGGCTGAACAAGCATATCACTTTCCAGCCTCTGGTTACCAAGTTTTCCAGGCAGTACGATCGGAAATAAGAACATGAAATATGGTTCAAGCACATTTATCCAATCCTTTTGAGGTAATCAAGTTCAAGTAATCAAGTTCAAAATCATTCCAAATCACTAAAGTAAAAATGTACCTCCATGAAAGCTACTTTTAAAAGTTAATTTTATGCCTGCATTCCCTTGAGTTTTAATAAACAATAACCACATTATTCTCGCAAGGTATTAAAAATGCAAGGAATAATACAATATTCCAGCACTTCACGTCACACTATTCTTCACATCTG